TTCTCTGCCTCTACACTCAGCAAAACCGCACAGGCGGACCTCTAGTCTTTTTCCTTCTCTCCTGCCCCCCCCCCATTCCATGGAAAACAAATCTCCTTTGTTGTAACCTCAAAGAAAACCTTATTCCCTATTATAATCTTCATCAGGTCATTTTTTTCTTTTTTGGTGTTTTGAGACAGGGTCTCACTGTGTAGTTCAAGCTGACCTCAAACTCCCAGCAATCGTCCTGCCTCAGCACCCAGACTGCAGGGATTACAGGTGTGTGCCACCACGCCCAGCACCACCAGGTAACTATACCTTTTCTGCACTAGAGTTGTTTCTTCACACCCGAAGTAAAACATCACTTTTTTTCTGTTTAAGAACAGTTCTCACACAACCTTGCTTTTCTATATCTTAGAATCTTTATCGAATCTCCTCTCCCTGCCAAAACTAAGACACAGTCTGATACTCTTGTCCCTGTCTTTTTGTAAGACACTGCTTCCAGGCTCTCCCCTTCTTTGAGTTCATGTTAAGATTTTCCCTTCACACAGACTATTTCCTCTTAGTCCACAGAACATTCAGATCATCCCTACAGACAGGGAACGAGAGAGGAAGCAGAGGGGCAGGGAGGGGAGGAAAGGAAACAACAAATCCTTGAATATACTGCCTCCCTTTCTTCACAGCCTACTGCACATTACCTCCTTTCTATTTCATTCGTCTCCAGGTCTCTGGAAAGTTTGTGCCTATCTCTGTAGCTTCCTATTGCCAACCCATTCTTAATCACCAAACTCCATGCATTCCAGTATGCAAAGATGCCTGTTCAGAAAGGCCAAAGATCACTGAATGTGATGACATACACTTGCAACCCCAGTGCCCGGGAAGCTAAGGCAAGAGGATCACTGTGAGTTCAAAAGCAGCCTGAAGTACACAGACATGGGGGGGGCGGGGGGGGGTGAAAAGAAAAAAGGGAAGGGAAGGAAAGAGGGGACGGGAGGGGAGGGAAGAGAGGGGCATTCAGTCAGAGGCCTTCTGGCACTGCGAAGGCAGACCTGCCTCTCCCTCCTCTCCTCCTCAGCCTCACTGCTGGTCGTCCTGGGGGGCACTGACTCATCTGCCGATTCATGAGGTCATGGTAGAATGGCTGTTACGAGGTGGACCTGACTGAAAGTATAACCTGAAACAAGCTTCCCGAAGTACAACCTGAAAGGGTGTATTCCTGTCCCCACTGCCTCCCTGCTGCCCTGAAATGAGCAGTTTTCTTGTGCCGTGCACTGCCTTCATACAGTTTCTGCCTTGGAGTCAACAGACCATGGACTAAAACCTTTGCAAATTATTAGCCAAAGTAAACCTCTCATCTTTATCGTACCGGGGATCGAACTCATGACTGCCTGCTTACAAGGGAGGCGCTTATGCCGCTGAGCTAAATCCCCAGCCCCAACCTCGCATCTTTTAAATTGTGAGTGCTACATGTTTTTTGTGCCTGTGACAGGGAAGCTAATTAACACCCTGCTCCAAATTAAAGGACAAGCCAGGTATAGTAGCACACACTGTAATCCTTGCACTCGGGAGGCAGAAGCAGGAGGATCACCATGATTTCAAGATCAGCCTGAGCTACACAGAAAGGCACTGTCTTAAAAAAACAAAAATTAAAGTGCATTCTGTCTCCTACACACAGTGATTCTACATTGTTCCTTCTGCATGTCCTTGAGCCTGGAGCACTCTGAGCATGCAATAGTTTCCTATTAAAATTACCCATCCCAAACAGCAGCTTTCCTGCTTCTGATCATTCCCTGAAGACATGACTCTCTTCACCTACTCACCCCTTCATCAATGTCCCGAGCCTTCTGAACGGCGCACGTTCTCTGTAATGTAATCTGCCATACACGAACAAACCCTACAGAACTCTGAGGTCCCGACTCTATCAATCACCTTTGTATTCATTCTCTTGTAGTGCCTTACATATTCGCCATACATATAGCAGGCTCTCAATGTGTATTTGTACAACTAAAATTAAAAGAATGGTTATGTATTTTAGTACAATAGCATGACAATAACTAGAAATACATTTTTCTGAATCCCAGAAATGATTTTCTTTGATACAGAAAACTCTCACCTACTAAATTGTAATTCCTAGAAGCGGTCCCAAACAAGACCTTCCATTATGTTGGGAAAGTTTCCTGTCTTTTCACTCTCCTCCCCAGGGAACCTGGTACAAAGTTGAGTCCAACTTGTAATAACTCTTAACTCCTCTCCCCATCTGCTTTATCATGTTCAAAGATGATAATCTGGCTCAAACTACATTGTATGATTGGAGTCAGGAAATTTGAGTCAACTAGATTCCAATGCCTAGACTTTGTTTTTTTTTTTTTTTTTTTTTTTTTTTGCTTGCTTGTTTACCTTGACTATTACTGTATTTTTTAAAATTTATTTTTTTTTTTTGTACCAGAGAGTGAACTCACCACCTTGCACTTGTCAGGTAGGCACTTGTGCCACTGAACGAAACCCCCCACCTTTTTTTTTTTAGAAAGAAAAAAAAAAGCACAGAAAAATAAAAAAGCAATCAAACAAATAAAAAATCCAATGAAAGTCAACGGATGACATCATCAACAAACACATCAACAACAAACACAAGACTGATAAAAGATTTCAAAACAAGGTGAAAGGAATTTAACAATAGGTATTATACTGCATTTTGTTATCTTCAAAATAGTTGCTCAGGTTACCAGACACAATGCCTACGCTTTGAACTTACCAGTATTAAAGTTAACAAAAAAGTACTCAGCTTTGAGCCTTGCACAGATCTCAAACTAAATGTGGGTGCTGTGCAATCATAGTAATCTAGGGCACTTTTTATTTATGTGTGCTTAAATCTCATTAAACATACTTCATTTCTATGACAGTAAATTCTACCAGGTATGTAAGATAAGTAAATGTGGAGTAGCATTGGTAGGAACTTCATTGATCTGAGAAAAATCATTCCATAATAAATTCCTGTCATTGAGTATAAAACTGTCATAAATATTGAACATTATTTACAAACTAAAGTAATACAGAGGTAAAATTCCTTGCACTAGTATCCAGCCCGTTAATACATTTTGGGGGAGTTTTGTTTTGTTCTGTTTTAACGCAGAATCTTTTTACATAGTCCAGGCTAACTTGAACCCACTATGTAGCCCATACTGGTTTGAACTCACAGTAATTCTTCTGCCTCAGCCTCACCATGTGTCACCATGCCTGGCCCAATTTAATACATTCAAAGATAACATGTAGTATTATTTCTTCAGGGCAATTTATTCTAAAAATCCTTTACTTTCCTGTTAATAATAGTAGCTAAAATTCTCTGTCTGATTTATTCAGCATTCACGTCATGGGACAAAGCATTGTTCTGAGTTTCTTCATGACTGCACAAAAAATGTTAACAACAATCATTCCAAGAAGGTATTTTTTAACCTATCTGAAACATAAAGAACATCAGAGAAATGAAGTGATGTGCCCAAGTACACAGCCACATGCACACACAGCTGGATTCCTTTGACTCTATACATCACACTAATCCTACAGGCAAAGAGAAAGGTTATTTTATTAACCACATCATACGGTAAGAGCATTGCTCTTCTGTACTTTCACTCAGTACATGTCATCTTTTCACTCAGTGTATGCCATTTTTAGGGACCCTTAACCATGTATTCCCTAATATTTATCGACAGTAGAGAGGGTGACTAGGAAAAGAACTATTGCATTAATAACACTGTTTTGTATTGTTTTGTTCTGTTCTGTACGCCAAGCATGGTGGTGCACACCTGTAATGCCAGCACTCAGAAGACTGAGGCAGGAGAATTGCCACAAGTTCAAGGCTGTAGGGAGCGGCTCAGAATGGCTGCCGCTGTCCTGCCCCTCCCACCTGAGGGCATTTTGTGTGTCAGCCTACATTTCCCATGATCCTCCCCTTGCCTACAATGCGCAGTAAGCACCTTCCCGCTTCAGCCTACATCTCCCATAATCCCCCCTTGTTGACATCACTTCCGCTTACCTATGTGCCTACTATGACTTCCTGCTAGTCTGATAGGCCCATGGCATATGCGGAGATCCCAAGCCGGCCCATCCTATAAAGCCAAGTTCCCTTGAACTTTATATAGGCCATATACACTTCCTGAATAAACAGGACTTGATTGGAATTGGTCATCTTGCCCTCGTCTCTCTTTTCTCTTGCCCAGCCCTCCATCCTTGTCCCCTCTCCAGGCGAGTCCTACGGACCCATCCGTGGGCCAGATCACAAGGCCAACCTGGGATATACAGTGAATTCAAGAGTTCAAGGCCAGCATGAAGTCTGTAGCAAGATCCTGTCTCAAAAAAAAAAAAAAAAAAAAAAAAAAAGGTGTTTTCCACTACATTGGTACTTCGGTTCACAAACTCACTTCTCTCCATGATTCTGGTAACAAACCGAACTGGATGAGAACCAACTCAAATTTTCCTATAAGGTCAGCATTAAACCTAACCATTGAATTGGCAATGGTTCTCATCCAACTCAGTTTGAGACTAGAATCAAAAAAAATTTTTGTGATCCAAGATACTAAGAGAACTTTTCAAACTGTAATTCATACTTCACCAGAAGAGATAGTTTAAGAGAGGCATGAATGACAAGAATTATCTTAATGAACCACTGCATTTTAATAAATCTTTTATATCCCAGACTGACATAAATGTGATTTTAGGTGATACATATTTTTATTCCATAAATTGTAAATGTGCTTACTTTACTATATATTAGAAAAAAATTAAACACAAACAAATCAATAAGTTTAGAGAAATATTAAAATTTTCCTTTTAAAAAATCCACTGTAGTGAACACAAGTTTTAGACTGCACAAGTATGATATTTTAAAAATTGTTAAAGTGCTTCACAAAGGAAAAATAATTAGGAAACATGGAAGAAATGAGACTTTGCTAACACAGTATGCTTACTGTCTGTGCTTATATTGATAGGATGGAGCCTTTACCCACGTCACGTTTGTCAGGACTCACCTCTGGTGACAGCATCAAGTGCACAGCCACTTCCTGTTGCTCCTCCTCCAATCACAAGGATGTCAAATTCTGAGGTGTTCTGCAAAGTCAGGAGCTGAGCTTCTCTGGAAGGAGGTTCCCTGTTAACAGGCTCTGCAAAACACTCTGCTGCTTCCACATATGCCAGGTTCACCTGATGAAAAAGCAGACAACTTCCAAGGTTCATCCCGAATGCTGACTTAATACATTTTACAGTGCATTAAAGGAAGGAATTCGTAGCGGAGATGAGGAATAGGAGAGCTAGACCAGAGTCCCCATGGATGTGTGCGACCATCACAGAGGCAAGGAAAGCTAAGTGTATTTCTTTAGATGGCCTGGCCTAGCCATAAAAGATACACTTTCACATTCAAAACTGCTTCTTTTGGCCTTATATACAACTAAGTTCAATTATCTCCACCACAGTGTAACAATATCCAGAAACCTGAGGCAATCTGCAGGGCAAAAGAAGGAAACACCCTAGGCAGCAGCAACAAGTCTTCCAGCTAATATTTAAAAGTGTTGATATCACAAGAAAGGAAGAAAAAAAAACACCATTTTGTTTTTCAAAACTTCTTAAAATATATATTCTTCATTTCTTAGTTTCCATGATAAAAATATATTCTAGAGTTTGGGTTCTGTAAGTTTTAGAACAATTAAACAAATCTGCTTACCACCTTAAGTAATTAGCTATATTTAACTAGAATCATATTTTCAAATATTTTATTCAGAGGCTTCCCCATTAAATATTTTAATACAAAATTAAGGATTTCATGTATTTATTTTATAGTATTTCCATTGTTTAATAAAACTTAAATCATTAAAGGCATGCCTGGTCCTCTTAAAGGATAATGACATTCTCTATTCCTAATTTTTATATAGTAATTTAACTTACCATCATAACAAATCAGAAATCATAGTCGTATTCAAAAAACAGCGGGCAGGAGAAAGGTACGGGATTTAGCTCAGTGGCATAAGCACCTACCTGGCGAGCAGGAGGTTGTTAGACCCCCAATACCAAAGAAAAGAAAAAAAAAAAAAAAAAAAGCAGTTGCCAGAGCCCGAAATCAGAGTCAAAACCTAAAAAGAATAAGGATCTGGTTTCTTCTAAACCATCAACACTAGGCTTATTCACTACACTGAACAGTGTTGACCAAAGCTGCTCTATTAGTAACCCAAGGATGCATAACATTTATCCTCTCTGTGAAATAGCATCAGCATAAGCCATATGATGGTGTTTGTCCCATTCTGCTGTTGAGGCCACATATGGATATTCAGGCCAAAGTCTGTTCAAAAAGACTTATGCTTGATTTAAAGATTATTCAGATCATTCAGGATAAGTAGGAGTTTTTTACCTAGTAAAAAATATAAATGATCTTCTATGACTGGATTTAATTACTATCAGGCCAACTAGATTTCTCAGAAAAGCAGTCTAGCAACCTCAGGATACCCTGAGAAATTGTTAGGTTAGGGTCAGAGCATTCCAACTTGCATGACTGCACTCCTGTTTTTCAGTATTGTCACTTCTAACACATTCTCTCTCTGGGCTTTGCTTTCTTCATTTCTCAAATGTGGATAAAGCTCCTGTGATGTGTCTGTTTCCAGCTTATCTTCTGTGTGAATGCAATAATATCAAAGTCACTGGTACACTAGACTTCCCACAGTACTTCTTATTATTCTTATTAAACAGACTCTTTGATAACATGTGAAAAGAAACTTTCAAAACATGTCTTGGCTATGAGGGCAATCTGGCTGTGATGTCCGTCACTCTACTGACCACCAGGGTTGATTTGGCTGATCTGGCTGGCTAGGAGGGTGTCCCCTTCCCCCCCTCAACACTCCACATGTTTCCCTCCCAAAGCTGTGTGCTGGGTCAGCCTCCTCCAATAGAGGAGTGCTATTCCTCAGTCAAGGGGAACCTCCAAGTTCTCAAACATATCTTATTGAGCCGGGATACACTTCAGTGACTTAGCGCTGCCTGAAAAGTGCAAGGTCCTTAGTTTGATTCATGATACCAAAAAAAAAAAAATCTAAGTTTCATAAAAACCATGGTTATAATAAATCAGGTGCCATGACTTTCTAGGCTAATTATTTCAGATGCCAAGCCACAAAAATCCTATTCTGCAAAGTATAACTTTGTAATTACTTGCCAATAATTATTTCCTCATGTTTACCTTTATACATATTTAAGATAACTAAGTATAGCAGCCAGGTATTTTGAAGAACACACTATCTTTTGGTTATGGTCTTTGCCTTTCGTCACCTAATGGGAGGTATATATATATATATATATATATATATATATATATATATATTTACCACTACTGTCACTACTGTTACACACACACTCACTCATTCACTGAAGGTACATATATAACAAGTATGTAAAAAGAACAAATGTCAAAATAGAGGGAAAACCATAGCAGGCTATGACCATTCAGATGAGGGAGGCAGGGAGAATCTTTCAACTGAATGCTTCAGCTGCACCATGACAGATGGGCAAGACTTGGACATGAGACTGACAAGTGACTAAAACACCAGAGCATTTTCACACATCAAAAGAATTGCTGACATTTTCTGCTTGGTAGGTTTTCTAGAAATACTTGAGAAATACATTTAAAGACCATATTATGATATAGTTCATTAGAACTTGGTAATACTCAAAATTCCCTATTCTGCTCCATATATGAAGGTTAAACTCAAAGGCTGGGGTTTCCTTCAGCAGGCAGGCTTGATGTGAATGACAACAGTTATGCCTGTGCACAAACAGTTGTGCACTGTTTCTCAGGTGCTCCTGCCCTGCCTCACTCACCTTTCCCACCAGTATGCACTAACACTCCCTTTTCAAAAATTAAAAAGTACTTCTCTTATACGTTTCAAGTTGCCATCCTAAATTTGTCAGACGATCTGTAAGTGCTTATTTCTGTACTGTCTTCCTCCTTCACCCTCAAGTGCCCCTCATCAGGCTTTTCACATACACACCTCACCACAGTCGCCACCAGGACAAATTAATGTTCCCTCTTCTATTGCTTCCAGCAGCATTCAATTGCCTGTTCACTCACCTCAGCATCTCTGAAACAGTTCTCTCTCTCCTGTCTCTCCGAATCACGCTCAGCTTCCTCTGGATGCCACTCAACTGCCCAACATAAATCACAGACACTTCTCTTTAAATGCATTCTATTCACTCCTCTCAGACTGTAAAACTTGCTTCCTAACTCCTAACTTGCTTCCCCACTCTGAAATCCAGGTATCAAACTGCTCAGGGATCTCCATTTTGGGGATCTTAAGTCCACCTCAAAGTTGATCTGATGGGTAGGTATTCCCCAAACTTTTTTCCCTATAAGTGTTCTTCACCTCAAGAAGAGTACCATTATATAAGTGGCTGCTTGTGCCAGAAATTCTGGAGGCATCCTTGACAGCTTCCACTCTCTTTAGTGCCACAACTGATCAATCACGGAGCCTTATCAATTCCATCTCCTTGGATATTCTCACGCCTGGTCCCTTCATCTTCGCTACGTCCTGTATGACATCCTCTCAAAGGTCATCACACACACACGCCCTTCCTCTTCCAAATCATTCATCTTGCTGCATCTCGAGTAATCATTTTAAACCCAAGTAAGGTAACTGACATGTATGAAACCCTTTCAAAGTTCCCAATGTAATTTAGGTGCTTTACTCTGTTATCTAAAACTCTTCATACTCTTACAATGAATAAAAGAAAAAGAAAAAAGAACAATGCCAATTTTGCTGGGGATAAAACACACCTGGAGCTCTCTTACAGTGCTGCTGAGAATGTAAAAGGATGCAGTCATTCTGGAAAATGGTTTGTAAGTGCCTTAAGAAGGTCAGTGTACATACTTATCATTCAGCCTGACAAATTCACTCCAAGGTAATTACCCAAAAGGAATGAAAATTTGTATCCACACAGAAATATGTCAGCAAAGCTTATGATGGGTTTATTTGCAATTGCTCAAAACTGGGAAAAACCCAAAACTAAACTGTGTTATACCTATGCAATGGGATAATAATGGTAAATTTGGGTTGGGGGATGTTGAGATAGGATCTCACTGGCCTTGAACACACTATGAAATCCAGGCCATCTCAGAACTCATAGCAACCCTCCTGCCTCAGCCTACCGAGTGCTGAGATTATAGGCATGTGCCACTCCACCTAGCAAATCAGCAATTTTTAAAAAGACTAAACTACTGATGTCATCAAAACATAAACAAACCTCAAAGTAACATGCTAAGCCAGGCCGGAGCAAAGTATGATCAAATCCAGCTGCCACTCATTTTTGTTAACAGAGGTTTATTGGAAGATAATCATGTTGAATCAATACATTTATGAACGGACTTCTGCAACAGCAAAGGTGAGCGTTACAACACAAATCATATGACCCAAACCCAAAAACACTTACTAGCCGTTCCTTTAAAGAAAAAGCCTTTCATCTCAGCTGGCGGTATGTCACCCAGCATAAGGAAGACCTGGAAACTCCAGAGCCATGTGAGCCACGAACATGACCACATGAACAAGCACGGAAAGCACCCCAGAGACCAGAGTCATGCTGGTAGCCTACATCAACAAAGGATCAACTTTGATAAATATCGCCCAGGTTACTTGAGGGGTTGGTGTGAGACAACACTACCTAAACAAAAACCAAAACTTCTGTCCAATTGTTACCCTTGATACATTGTGGACAGGTCAGTGAGCAGACAGAGCAAATGCTGCCAAAAATAAGACTGGAGTAGCTTCCATCGTTGATGTAGTGCAATTTAGCTACTATAAAGTTCCTGGAAAAAAGAAGCTCCCAAAGCAGCCTGTCATGGTGAAATCAAATTCTTCAGAAGAAGAGCCGAAGGGAACATGAAGAGTATCGGGGAGGCCTGCGTCCTGTTGGCTTGAAGCCATAGGGAGAAGACTCTTTAAACACTAATAAATGGTTAAGGAAAAAAAAGAAAGAAAGAAAAAGAAAAATGGCTCCCAATCCCTATGCTTAATAAATGAAGCCACACTAAGAAATCTACGTACTAAATGATTGCGATAATTCTTTACAAACGATGTTCTCTAACAGGATAATAGAAACGTTCTAGGGATTAATCGTGGTAGTTATCACATACGAGCACATAATTAAAAGGGTGGGAATTTTATTGCATTTTA